GGGAGGGAGGAAACAAGCGGCCACCACATTGCGGTACATAAATGTCAAAGAAGAGTGGAGATCATTGTTGGGCAACTATGGTGTGCTGTCCTTTTCGATAAACACGTGTTGTCCTTTTCAATAAACAACTGACTCACAAACATATACTGCCCATATAAGAGATACGTTGGTGCGTATACTCAGACTAGGACTTTTCTTCTAAGCTCTGGACGTGATTGCGGCCAGATTCATCAAGCTCCACGCCGTAATTGTGGTCATATCCATTTCGGAAAGTGCTAGTACATACCCTTTCGTGAGCACAGTATACATCTACGCTCAGACTAGAAAACCACAGAATACACTTCCAATTACGTCAAGAGAGATTTTGTGAGCAAGCAAGAGACCTGAGAATTGCAAACCACCATCCAGATTTGGACGTGATTGCAGACAGATTCATCCAGGTCGTTCAATGTCGTGCCATTGACATCATTGAGAAGTGATGAAGAACAAAGAAAGAACCAACAATGACATGGAGCTTGTAGCAGTAAAGACAAAGAGCAACACAGCACAGCATACATACTCGCGAGCAAATCAACCACTCGCACAAAAAGAACGCATTGCACTTGCAAGTGCATTTCGAAATTGATTTGATCACACACACTCAACAAAGCCGGAGGACCAAGTGCATCCTAGCTGTCTCCTCCATGCTTTGCAACAGAGTACATTCCTCTGGCATGCTAGTCCCGGTTCGGATTATGTCACTTCTCGTCATTACAAATAAGCAGGTCTAATTCAAGCTACGCTTCCAGGTACACACGGGAAGAATCCATGGAGCCTGCTCCTCAGGGCATCTTGCAACAGACGCTCCCATTATCTTGGTGCCTCTATTCATCCAACTACTGCCCTTACACACACACACACACACACACACACACACACACACACACACACACACACACACACACACAAACAAACAAACAAACAAACAAACAAAACAGAAAAGAATAAAACAAACAAAACAAACAAAGAAACAAACAAACGAACAAACATGAAGACAGCCCCCGCCCCCCAATCCTGCTCCTCGATTATTAAAAAGGATCTGCGGCGGAGACTTATAAGTCCACCTGTCTTGCATCACACGCACGTTCCACATCTACGAGCTGGACTTTAATACAGATCAAAGATCTGCGGCACATAAGGCCAGGCCGGGAACCTCCCCAAGAAAACAGGTCATCGGCCAAACCTCCCTCCTCAACAGCTTCGTAGCCTTTCTCTTCTCCGCAGAGTTTCTTCCACTGAATTGAACGATCTGTGAAATCTTCGATTTTGATTGCGTGATGTGTGCCCCTTGCCTCATCTTCTGAATCTCAAAAGCGACCCGTGAGAAAGGAACTGTCGCCATGTGCGTCACAAAACACCAAAGCTACAGTTTTTTTTTTGCTTGCAGCAATCATAACAAGCGTGCCTTGCAACTGTGAAGAAGACAGAAAACGCCGCAGAAAAACCATGCGCAGAAAAAGGGCCCTCAAATGCACCAGAGATCCATCACACAGTATATAGCAGAATATAAGCAGCACATCCCAATAATGGTCATTCTGATTGGAGCATGATATCCATCCCACATAAGCACCAGTCCTCTAGCGATCACAAACCATAAACAACCAGGTAGAGGAAGAAAATCTCTGGGCCTGCTGAGCCTGCGCCCACCCAGGGCCTCCAAGCTGCTGAGCCACATAACTACTTCAGTGCTACACCCCAGGCGCAACAGCCTCTATGTGCTGTACAGACAAACAGAGAGACAGAGCCTGATCCCACACCCTTCCTCCCAAAGTGACGCGAGTCGAACTCCAATGCCACAATAAGCATCAACAGCAGCACCAGAAACCCCACCGGTCATCATCAAGTAGCAATCCCTTAAGATTGCGATAGGAGGACAGGGAGGCAAACATTCATTTGCACCTCTCTGGGTGCCTCTCTAGACGAAGGTATGCGTCTAAAGCATAGCAGGCGGGACAGGGAGGGACGTCATCCTCGTGCGGAAGCTATCACGGCTTCTTCATTCTGTATGCTCCAGGCGAGCTACAACTGAGAAGAGGAGGTTATGAAACTGCCGGGGAAGAAAACAAGTCGCAACATTTCAGCAGGTCAAGACTACAATCTCACTGCACAAGGAGCTACAGAGTACCATCAAGAAAGCTGCGCCAACCCATCTGCAAGTTTGCCCACCTAAGAGGGAGGAATCAGGACCTATAATGGGAAAGGTCACGGAGAGCTTTACGTAGACTGGAGAGACGAATCACAGCCCCAAACTGTCACTGCCGTGTCAATTTTCAATACCCACCCTGGAGACGAGCTCGGCTTTTCCTTGTCCCCCAGCTCATTCTCACAAGCCACGTGACTTTCTTCTGCTCATCCATGCATTACAGAATCTTTACACAGGTCTGCCTGCTGCACCATCCTTTTACGACTGCAGCAACAGACTGAAGCAACAGACTGAAGCAACAGACTGAAGCAGCAGCTTCCTGGCAGCACGTCGCACTGCTGTTGAAGCGAATCCACAGAAACTGCTCACCTGACCTATTCATAAAAGGGACAGGTGGCCAGCCTCCCTCCTCCGCACAGGAATTCCACCAGGCTAAAAATAGACCAAGCGCCTAACCATCAGGGAGCAAGAAGTTTGCTGCACCAGGCTGGATTTTCGGGCTGGTCCAAGCGAAAGAAGTTATACCCCTTACCTCAACCCATGGGCTACGGTTGCGACATCTGGAGAATGGTGCACGCCCCCGTGAAGGATAGACAGAGCACCGGCAGAGAGACACCTCCCGCCCCCAAACACCTGAACACAACACTAGCAGGGAAGGCCAGTATCTAGATCACGTCCGCGGCGAACCGATAGATCATAATTGGGCGACAACGCTCCAAACAGCTCTGCATCAAGGAGTGGCCTTAACCAAAGCCAAACCCTTCACTGGCTTCATGGATTGCCAGCAATAACCGCTCCTGAAGTTGTTCCTTCGATGAATACTCTGGCAGATCGAGCTGATTGAAACACGTGTGTGCAGAAGGCAATCTTTCAGGCGCTCCATAGGCCTTGTGAATCTGGAACCGCTGCGGTCCTGATATTCCCTGCAGGGCTTTGAAACCCTCAAGTGGCACCTTGGAGGTCCCTGTGACAAATTGCAGCAAGCGGGCCATATCCTCTTTGCTGAAGGCTCGAACCGCCTCCCAAAACCACTGCACAACCGGTGAAGCGGCAGTGTAGCCAGTGTACTCAGTGTTGTCCCTGAGATCTTCGATATCAATCTCAGGCAGACCACTGATCAGCAGCTCTAGTTCTTTATCATTGAAAACGGAGATCAAGTCCTTCGGGATCAGCTCATGGAAACCCTCCAAGAATGCATTGATCTGGGGTCTAATCGCCGTCGTCATGCGGTGCTCCGCCACAAGATCAACATACTGGTGTTTGTTCTGCTCCGTCACCAAGGTGTTCCTCCCACTGGGGATCAACTCATAGTCAGTCACTTCCTGTTTCTCGTACAGGATGTGCTTCTCCTCGTCCGCCTCCACACAGAACGTAAGTCCCAGATTCTCATTTACGACGTTGTCCAGAATCCACTTCAGGTTCTTGTAGTAGTCCGGATCTATCGCCTCAATATCATGATAGGTGACCTTCACGCCGAGAATGTGCTTGTAAAACGAGCGAGTGAAGTAGGCATCAAGAAGCTGCCCGTCAAACAATGCCTTCGCTACAACCCTCCCCACAAACTTGAAATACGACAAGTGTTCTGTCTGGTAACACGAGTTCGGGTTCGGCTGGAACGTCGACTCGTTTCCCACCGACGTGAACAGCAACGCACCCTTGTCGAATATCACCCGACATAACACTTGATACCATTCTCTCGTCAGCCCGCCTGCGTCAATACCCTCTTCCCCCTGGAACTGCACTGTCAAACGGCCCTTGAGCTCTTCTGGAGTTCTCATTCTCAACTGGTTGTACGAATCCTCCAAAATATATGCCCGCCGAACTGTGATTCTCAAAGACCCGTAATGTTGTTGCTCGTGAAGCTGTCTCATTTTCGATCGGAAGTATGCACGCTTGTTGTCAAAGTCAATCAGTCTCGGGGTCTTCAGCAACAACGACAGCGAGCCCTCGAGAAGGGCAGGATTTTGCCTCACAAACGAATTCAGCAGCCGCCTATGTTTCTCCACAAATCGGACAAAGGACATGCCACCACCTGCGAGTGAATCGCTCGGTGCAGCTGAATACATCCCCACTTCCCCTGATCGCGATACAGCTCCTCCAGAGCTGCCCAGGCCGGTTTCCTCCTTTACCACTGGAGCAGAAGCAACACCTGCACTCGTACTTGCCTCCGACAGGGGCACACCTTCCCGGACTTTCTCAGACAGTACAAAGAAGGCCTCCACCATCGGCAGGACATTGCTTGTGCCCAGCGGCAGCGGAGGTACAGCCACACCGGTTCCACCGGATGCCAACCCCATGCCAGCGACACCTGGAACATCTACCAGCGCTGAGGTCGACGGTGCCATCCCCGAACTTCCAGAAGTGGCTCCAGCAAGGAGAGTTTGGCTAAGCCTTCCTTCCAGTTTGGACATGCAATGCGACAGTGCCTGCCATAGGGTTTCCAGGCCCCGATTCAAGTGTTGTGCAAGCAACAAGCCTTCTTCCTTCGCACTATGGTGACCACCTTGTTCTTCCTCCTTGTCATCAGCTGCCTTGGGCGTGCGCCCCCCAGGCGTGGAGATCAGTGCTGTCAGGGTTTGCAGCACCCGCAACACAGCAGCTCCTGCTGTAGACGCCGTGCTTACCGCACCGGGGCCAGCATCACCCAGCACTTGGAGTTCTGCGACTGCAGGACCGCTCATGCTCTGTGCCACAGCAGCCAATTCCTCGACAAAAAGTTGATGGTGAGAGGACACAGCATCTGCCAGAAGCTTCACCACTGTCATAACTTTCGCATAAGATGATTCCGACAACCCCTCACGTGCAAGAAGGTGGCAAAGCTGACGGAGTTCCGGTTTCGGCAAACTTTGCAAGATCGAAGCAGCGTCAATCTCGTCCCTCTTTCCAGATGACGAGGGGCCGACATCAGACTCTAAGCGGGCCTGCGTTTTCTCTGCCCCTGCGGGCAGTCCACCATCCCTGACCTCTCCTGCACGAACTGTTCTCTCCAACATTGGTTGCCTGGCACTCTCTGCCGCTACAGACGGTTCTCCGGTGCTCTCATCTTCCCCACGCCCCACTCCTCTGGTCACCATTGCTGGTGCCTCACCAACTTCGGCAGTCTGCCCTCTTGAAGCTCTTCCGGTTTCTCCATCTGCCCGCCCTCTCCCTGGCCCTGTTCCAGCATCGACTGCTTTCACTCCAGCGCTCCTCACAACCACTTCCAGAAGACCCATCACCTGCTCGAGATGAGCAGTCGACCTAGAGTACAGAGGTCGCCCCAGAAGTTTGAGAAGAAGCACCAAGGGAACCTCACCCTCCCTCTGTCGTTCATGTGGTGTTGCCATGGGCGAGACCTCACTGACCTTGGTCTTCCCCCTGTCTTTCCGGGCATCCGCTGCCCGCAAGGAGGGAGGAAGTGCGGACCATGCTGCCGGTGGAGGCAGCTGCTGTGGAAGGGTGGTCTCCGAGGGGTCCAAGTATAGCAACATGCGAGCAACCCGGGGATGACATTTCGCAAGAGACGTGAGAACTTCCAGCACTCGCCCAGACACCAAAGGAGGCACGGCGTGCATTCGAGCATAAACAACGTTAGGCTGGCACCCATACAACCGCTCCGGGGGCATGCCCTCCTCACCAGGCGACCGGCCCCCCACTTCCGGCTTCAACATATCCAGCAGGAGAAGCAGGAGGGTCGTCCGGGTTGCACCATGGGAGCACAGGTTCAACAGCAGCTTTTGCAGCAAGCCTTTGACCAGGGATTGCGCGAGCCACGTGAGTCGGAGCACAGCCTTCAGCGCCACGACATCCATCAAAGGCCTTCCCTCCACATCCTTCACCTTCCCACTCGATCCCACACCATTCCCACCAAGCCTGCGCACCCCACCCAGAGCGCCTGTGCCAAACACCCGATCAAGAGACGAAGCTGACCCGTTCATTGCTCCGAGTCCGCCCACATTACTCGTTCTCCTTCCCACCCGTCCCAGAGCAAAGAGGTTCCGGGAATTGTACTGATGATTGTAATGGCGTTCCCGCAGCATTTGCGCTTCTGCTAACAGAGCCGGCGGCAGTGCAGCTAGGACAGCCTCCGAGGACGTCAAAAGCACCTCCTCTCGCAGCTCCGCCGGGAAAGTGGCAATGATGGATGCACTGTCCATATCCACTGGCCTTCCGCTGTCCTGTTCAATTTGTCGAGCCCTGGCAGCGGCCCTCTGTTGCGCAAGGACTTCTGCCTGAATGTCCGGCGGCAAGGCAGCGAGGAACTCCGGATCCAGCTCTCCCATCTCAAGATCTTCCGAAATGACTGCGGGTGGAGATGTCACAGGAGCTGCCGGTGCATGCATAGCGGCAGCTTGCTGTTGCTGCATAGTCAAGACCTCATGGCGAAGTTCCACAGGCAAGGCCTCCAAGAAAGTGGGATCAATGCCATTCAGAACCTGCTGCTGCTCAGCAGGATTATCGTTTCCTGTTCCAGTAGCAGCGGGCAGACCTGCAGAGCCAGCCACGGCTTCAGAGGGAGTGCCCTCCATAGCCACCTCCCCCTCCGGACGGCCAGGCTCTGCACTCAGAACTGATGGCTCCACGACGGACATGGGACACTCCACACCGCCACCGCCCTCCATATTGACTGAAGGCGCCCCAGAAGCTCCCTCGGAGCCTCTCATGGGCGATGCCCTTCCGCCCTCTTCGTCACCAAGGGAGCTAACGGCCCTCTCTTCTTCACTGGAGTCGCTCTGCCGACCACCACTACCACCGCCGGTGCCCTCTCTTCTAGCCCTTGCTTCTGCAGACTGGCCATCTTCACCCTGGCTTCTGCGGGGCTCCGACCCCATTCCACTCACCGCTGGGCAATTGTCTCCGTCGCCGCCCAATCCTTCAGACACTCCTATCGCAATCCCTACATGTCTATCCCCATCATCCTCGCCATATCCGCTGCCAATCTCGACCTCCAGGCTGCGAAGACTTTCTCCCATCGTCGTGGCCCCACTGTCACCACTGACATCGGCCGTCGCTTCAATTTCCCTACGATCATCTCTCATCTGGACATCGTCATCCACACCGGCAGCTCTCATAGGGCAATCGGACTCAATGTCTCCCGCAGAGGTACCTTCTTCTGCACGGGCCACCTCATCAGCACCGCCTGGCTCCATCATCCCTCCCTCGCTCCCTCCTTCCTGTCTGTCTTCCCCCCCTTCTCGCTGTGACCGCGGCTGCAGCTCTTGCGGTTCGTCTTCCATATGCACCCCCGCATCTTCCAATTCCTCGTCTCGATTCCCTGCATCCTGCGCACCAGCGGCCGCCGGCTCGGAGTCCCCAGACTCTCTGGGAACGGCAGCAGAAACACTTCCACCACCACCACCTCCACCTCCACTTTCCTCCCCGTCCATCTTTGCCTCCTGACCTTCTTGTGGCCTCGGGTCCCCATTCCCGCCCCTGTCTTCGATGGCCGCTCCGCCAACACCACCAGGTCCAGAAGCTGTCGCAGGTGTGGCCTCTGCGGTGCGTCTCCCTGCATCCTCCTCTCCACACATACGCGCCAAGAACTCGCTCTCCATGGCCTGCACGACAGCCGAGGCCTCCGCCCCGTGCTCGGCCATTCCCGCATCCGCCCACCTGCTCATGCGCCCATCCACACGGGTGGCTCTCCCTCCGAAGTACATTGGATCATGAAGGGAATCTATCAGCTGCGACGTCGTCACAGGTCTGTAGAATGTCTCGGGGACGCGCTCCGGCAGAGCCGGCCAATCATAAATGGACAGCTGCGCCGCGGCGTGAATGGGCCCACGCAGATCAGCGTCACGCATGTGACTACCAGCCCCACCGCTCCGAACAAGCATACCGAGCCCACCCAATCCACTCGATGGAGGCCTCTGGAGCAGAGCATGCTGAAAGGCTCCCCCGTGGGTCACTCTGCCGCTGCCACTGGATGGGCGCATCGCGGCCGCCCCAGGTCTCCGCCGCTCACTTCCATTAGCCCTTCGAATGGTACCCACGAGGTCCTCGAGATTCACTGGCAGAGGATTGCCGGCAACCCCTATGCTGCCACCCATGCCCGGAAGATCAACGAGTTGTGCATGGTCCAATCCGGTGATATTATCCCTCCATCTCACCTCAATCACCCTGTTGTGCACCCAGTCATCGTCCTCATCGCCATCCTCGACCATTTCATCTTCGAATTCTTCCCCAAGCACGCGATCCTCGAGGTCCGTGTCCGGAGGAGTAGAGGCGGGAAGCCCATCGTCACCGTCCATTTCTTCTTCGTCTTCGTCCTCATCCTCCCCACCATCCCCTTGCATTTCCTCCTCCTGTTCCTCCTCCTCCTCTTCCTCCTCCTCCTCCTCTTCCTCGTCTTCCTCCTCCACGTCCTCCCCCCTCTCCGCTTCCATCTGCAATCTAAACGCGGCCACCGCAGCTGCCACAGCCGCATCTTCCCTGATGGCCGCCGCATCTCTAATGGCGGCCGCAACGACGGCAGCGCGCTCCCGAGACTCATCCTCGTCCCTGGAGCCCACCACGGGATCCTGGTCCATACTCTCCGTCTCGTCGCCTCCCTGATCCATCCTTTCCCCCTCTCCCTCTCCTGGCACTCCCACCATCCTGGGACTGACAGGCCTTGCGCCATCACCGCCTTCGTCGGCAGAACCGTGGTGGGAGTCCAGCATTGCTGCGTCGACACCGCCTGCTTGCTGACTACGATAGGACCCCACGGGTTCAGGGCCATCTCCAGACAGTTCCCGTCGCTGCTGTTGCTGTTCCCCAACCGCTGTATCGGCCCCTTCGCCCTCCCCTCCTCCCGAGCCTCCATCCCCGCGCATTTCGCTACGGCTTCCCACACCCCCGTCCGCCCGCTCTCCAGGCGCACCCGACGTGGCATTCCCTCCGCTTCCATCCCCCCCCCTCCCCTGATTGCCTCGAGCATCCTCTAGCGCACCGCTGCCTGGCGCACCTCCGCTCCCTGCTTGTTCCTGCTCGACAGACTCCGATGCCTCTTGAGCCCCAGCCGCGGGGCCAGCAGCAGCAGCCGCAGCGGAAGTCACGGGTTCCTCCCCGGCGGGGGCTTCAGCCGCACGATGCGACTCACCATATGCAAGCGCAGTGTGACCATGCCGTGTCGAGGATGCTCCCCCGCCATTCCCCACGGCCGCAAAAATTGCCCCCGGGATGTCGCCGTCCGCCGTCCCTGCCGGCCGGGTCAACACCTCCAAAGCCTTCAGAATGGAGTTCACGAGCTTGAGGGTGTCAGGGTGATCGAGATCGGTGGCCTGCAGCGTCCGCGTCAGAGCTGGAATCATCCCCGCATCGACCATCGCCTTCGCCATGTCCGAGCAAAACCCAGGTGGTTGCGTGGCATTCGAGGAAGGAGGCGGCGGATAGAGAAGCAGGCATACGAGGTCAAGAAAAGCGCGCACTTTCCTTGAGGGGGGGTTCCAGCCCATCGGTCCGCTACCGGCTCCCATTCCTTCGGCCAGCAATCCCCGAACAATCTCCAACACCACCCGCCTGCGCCCCTCGCTAGATCGCACGCACAGAGCCATCAGGAACCGCATGCCTTTGTCCGACACTCTCTCCCTCTTCTCATCCTCACCTAATCCCTCGCTCGAAGGGCCTCCCGCATCCTCGGGGAAAGGAAGAACGCGATGCAAAACACGATACAAGAACCCTTCCTGATTTCCGACGGCTTCGTTTCCGCGGAGCTGCTGACTGGTTTCTGTGTCCCTTCTCAATATCACTGTGGCCGCAGAAGAGAACATGAGACAGATCTCCGTCAGGAGCTTCAGTGCGAACGCGACCCGCGCCACACCCGTTCCAACGTCCCCACCCGCTCTGCTCCCATCCACCCCAACTCGTGCTCTCTCACCTTCGCCTCCCTCTCCCACCTTGCCCTTCCCTTTCTTCGCCCCGACGACCTTCGTCGTATCCACGTCGTCGACTTCCATGTCGCTCGTCGCAGCCGCAGAAGCAGGGGTAACGCCACTCGGCGCACCTCCTCCCCCTCCCCCTCCTCCCAACGGAGTCGAGAGGACGACTTCCAGTAGGGTGTCTACGACGAGGGCGAAGCTGTGGGGGATCTTCCTCGGGAGCTTGGACGTCGACTTCGATCCCGACGACCCAGCTTCGGAGGCGGAAAGGGTTGCCCCTCCAGCAGCACCGTCCTTGGAAGTCGGAGTGGGCAGATTATGCTCCGCCGCTGACGATGTTGGGCCCGCGGCGTCGCCGCCACGCTTCTCTCTTTCCCGTTCGTCCTTCTTCTCTACGCCACTACCACTCGCTCCCGCTGCTGTTGCTACTGCCACCGCTCCGAATCTCTCCTTCTCCTTCGCCAGGACGACCATCGGATGTCCCCCCACCGTCTCGATCTGGCATGCGCTCTGCGCTGCCTTCATGAACACGACGGGGTCGCGACAGATAACAGCGGCCAACGCGGTCAGAAAGGTGCGCGGTTGGACGTTTCCTCTCCCGTTCTGCCTCGACATCAACGACATCAGCGTGTGCTTGATCTCCGACTCCATGGTCTGTTGCAGCGTCTGAGGATCTTCCAGCAGGTGCCGGATGATGGACGCCGCCAAGGTCTCGTACCCTGGGAACGCGCTCGCCTTTGGGAGAGAGAGAAGCGCCGCCAGCCCGCCCGCTTCGAGAAACTGCAGAGCGACCACGTGGCCTTTCGTCAGATGAGCGCAGAGCTGAAGGATCGCCTGCAACACGGAAGGCGAAAGCTGCTTTCCCAACTCCAGCAGCGCACAGCACACGGACATGGCATCCCGTTGCTCACTCTGCGTCAAGTAACCGCCTGACCTTCCGAGCGCACTCAGAAGCTTGTTATCAGCCGTCTCCAGCACTCCTCCCTTCCCTTCCTGCAGCACTTCATTCCCCTTCCCGCCGCCGATTTCGCCACCTGCTGGCCCTGCCGTCTCCACCTGCTGCTCCCCCGCAGCCGTCCGATTGCTTCCCCTCGGCGCTGAGGACCCCCCCCCTCCTCCCGGCACATTCGACGTCGGCGCTCCAGATGGGCCTGTCGTGGCCTGTTCGCTTGCCACCGCCGCCGCCGCCGCCGCCAATGAGCTGGCATCGCCTATACCTAGCCGCCCATCGAGGAGACAGCCAACGGAGGTGGACGACGTGGATGAGGAGCTCTTGATTGGCCTGTTTGCTTGGACCAGAATGTCCAGAACGAGTAGCAGAGCAATCACCCACCTGGGCACCTTCATGAAGGCCGCCAACGGCCCTCCGAGGACCATTCTGTCCCTGTCAACAAATCCAGAAAGAAGATCCAGCGCGATCCGAACGAGACCGCCATCCACGGCTAGCTCCCGCGATGCCACATCCTCAGACAATAGCAGAGCCAGCGTGTGCGTCAACGTAGACAGCCGACTCCTGCTCGCGATCCGACGACCGCTTCCGAGCTCGGGCGCCGCCCTGCCCTCGCTACCGACAGACCCCTCTCCCCCCCCTATTCCGCCCGATTCGTCCTCGTCAACCTCTTCCTCGTCGCCCGTGCATTGCTTGAGCAACTCCAGCAAGAAGGTCACCACCTTCTTCCGATCCTCTCCTTCTTTGCGACAGCAAAATGTGACAAGGAGGTCGCTCAGGGCAAACGGGACGTCGTCGGAGTGTTCAAGAAGCAGAGTCATCACGGACTCCCTCAAGACTTCCTCGACGCCGGGAACTTCGCGATCTCCAGTTTGCGTATTTGCCGCTCCGTTCTCGGCTGAAGCCTTGCCTTTGCCGCTGTCTCCGCCAGTGTCAGCAGCAGCAGCGGCGGCGACGTTCACGCCGCCTGCGTCGTCCCTTGGGAGCGGTGGTGGCTGCACCACATCCTCGGCGTTTCCCAAGGACAAGGCCAGAGCTCTGGCGAGCTCCTCGTCTTCCTCCCCGCCTTGCGCCGGTTCCTCCGGGTGGCGGAACAGCCACTCCATAGCCATCTCCACGCTGTTCGTGCCTACACGTCTGAGCGCCTCCTCCGCTCTCCCACGTGGAAAGCCCATCTCGACGATCACTCCCACGGACGCCTCGTCCGGCGGCGGTGCCACAGATCTCACCGGCAGCAAACCACCCCCTCCTCCATGTACTCCTCCCTTCAGGCCTCCTCCTTTCCCGTCTGCAGTGCCGCTGTATATGCACGTTAGAATCGACATTACGGACGACACAAACGGCCCGGGGCAGCGGGGAAACAGAGGATGGCTCCACACAGGCATCACAACATCGAGCACCTGAGACTGAAGCAGCTTCGCGAACGCTTCGTGATCCGTCGGTAAGGGCTCGGTGGCTCCTTCCTGCACGTGCTGAAGCTGCGAAGGACCCCCTCCTTGAGTGATAAGCGAGGCAGCGACAACCGTCTGCTCCAGAAAACGGCAGTAGCTCTCAAGGGTGTCAAGCAACCACCGAGACGAGGACGACGGGACGGCTACCTGCCGTGCTGCTGCTTCCGCGGAAGACGGTGTGTCCATCATCTCGGCCCCATCAAGCCCTTCGCTCGTGGAGGCACACTTCCTCTTCTTCCCGTACATACTGCCTGCCACAGCACCATCGCCCAACGACCCCTCAAGATCCACAGCGACCAAGGTCGACGATCCGTCCTCTCCAGAACCCGCCTCCTTCCAGAGCAACTGACATGTCTCCTCGAAAGTACGCAGCAGTTGCTTTATGGCGCCGTGTCCCTGGAAGCTCCCGAGTAGCGCGGTATTACAAGCTCGCCTCCGGGTCGTGTCGGCGGACGCCACGGCGCTCATGTCTTCCACAATCCTTCCTAGATATTGACATCTGACAGAAACGCCCACCTCCGTCTCGTAAGTCATCGCCAGGCTGTCAGCGAAGATCTTCGCGAGTCCGGCCGCCACCCTCGACGCCGCTGCGTCGTCCCGCCTCCTCGTCGAGGTCGCTATGGACTTTCCAAGGTGAACCAGCAGCGACCGAGCGTCCTTCGCCAGCAGCTTCATCATCTCGTAATATACTGAGGATGCAAGGGCCGGCCTGTTACTCGAGCCCGCGCCGCCGCCGCTCGTGGAAGCACCGCCGACGTCCATGGTAGAAGCCGAGGAGGACGACGCGTTAGACGGGCTGTCCAAGAACATATGCGAGGGCTCCAGGTGTGATGACAACCGCCTTCGATGTCTGGATCCGATCGTTGGCATGCCGCCGAGCATACGACCGCCGCCTCCTACTCCCCCTCGTCCGCCAGCAGCGCCTCCGCCTCGACCCGGCACCATGTCCGGTCCCCCTCCTTCAGGGGTACCCCCGCGCCTTCCCCGATGCAATCCGTCCGCAGCAATGAGCATCGCCGGGGGCGACACGAAGTCCGGGTCCATGCTCCAGTGCGCCGCCGCCGACCCGCCGCCCCCGTCCCTAGAGGAAGTTCCATCACCGTTGTTGTTGGAGTACCTAAGCATAGGCAGCGCATCGGCAGCTTCATCCTCCCTCCCGTCGGTTCCCGTCGCCGACACGCCGGCGTCAATCCCAGTCGTCGTTGCCGCTTGGCCTCCCGCCGCAAGACCAGCACCCTCGACCCCGGCCCCACCGCCACCGACTCCCCCTCCCCCACCTTCCTTTCGCTCTCCCGCGGCCTTCCAACCTTCATACAAGGTTATCTGCCACACCACCTCCCTATACACAATCCCTAGGTCTTGCAGCACGTCCCCTCCTTCCGCTCCGATCTCGCTGATCATCCCTATCAGTCGCACGAGCACTAGTGCCAACGATATGAAGCCCTCCGTCCCGGACAAACACCTCGCGATCCCCTCCCTCTCAGCGCTCGACGGGATCTCCGCCAACCTCTTCCCCTTCAGGCTCCTCACGACTTCAACGGCTTGCTTCAGATGCTTTTTCAACGCCGCGGCACACGCTGCTCTCGTCGTCTCCTGCGCATGACTCGACACCGCACGAAACGCGGCTGCTACGTGCTGCGCGTCCGATGATCCTCCAAATGACAGAGGCAGCAACGGCAGAGTGTATAATCTCAGCAAGGCCTCGATCCCCTCTCGTTCGACGAAAGCACGACTGCTGTCGGCCGTCGATAACATGGACTCCAACATTCGGACAGTGTTGATGATGCAATCAACAAGAAACTTCTCGGCCTCCCGCTGCTCCTTGGGATCCTGAGACGATGCCACTGGCATTACAACCGCGTTTGCGGTGGTCCCAGGAAGATCTTCTTCGATCGTCTGCATCGGAGACACGTCGGCTGCGGGATGCAGTGTCAACGGGACGGCACTTCCCTCGCCGTCGGGGCTTTCTGAGGCTGATGCTGGTGCCTCTACTCCTCCCGCGCCTCCTTCCGCGCCTCCTTCCGCTGCCCCGGCGTCGGCAGCAGGGGGGGCGACATCGACTGCAGAGGGAGTGGGCGCCGCTTGGGCAGAGGATTCTTCTTGTTCCATTCCTTCGGCCTCCATAGGCACCGCGGTGTCCGGCTCGTCTGCGACGGAAGAGGGGGCTGGGGCAGGGAGAGGGATCTCCCCCCCACTGCCGCCCCCGCCACCGCCACCCCCACCCCCACTACTCTTCGCCCCGCCCGCGGGGGACAGTTCTTCTACGCCCACTTCTTCCGCCGGCGCCCCCCCCAACACTGCAATCTTCTTTAGCAACGTGATTACCATATCGATTCCAGTGCCCCTGAGCGACGGCACGTGCCTCATCAACTCATCTAGTCCCGCCCCCAGTACCGACGGCGTGTCCCCAGCCAACGCCTTGGAGTACGCTTTGGAGACGAATATGGTCACGAAGCAACCCAGCGCATTCCTGTCCTTCACCGCCTGCTGCCCCGAGTTATTAAGGCACAGCGCGATGAGAGCACTAGGAATAGCACAGATGGCCTCTGAGGACGGGATGACACCGCCTGCTATAGAGTCCAGGAAGGCCTTGGGCAGACCCGCGGCGTCGAGAGAAGAGTAGTAGGTCGGATCTTGATGTATCAAATCGCCCATCACGGACGCTGCGAGCGAAAACACCCCGCCCTCGAAGTCCGCCGCGTGTTCAAATATCTTCCTCAGACACGCTGGCAACAGCCCGCTGTTGCTGCCGAGCAACAACCTCGACGTATTTCGATTCCCCGGCACGTAATTGGCGAGGGCGATCGCTCGCAAAAGGACCTTTAGCAGTACCAGACGCTGGGAATGCGACGCAGGGGGGGGGGGTACAGTAGTCCCCTCTGCCGCCGCGGCCGAAGGTGGCCCTCTTCCGACGCCCGCAGCACCTGCTGCATCAGCAGCATACCCACTGCCACCGAAATCGTCGATAGCCTCGATGGCTGCTGCTGCTGCGTTCTCATCCTGTTGTGCTCCTCTTTGCACTCTGCTTTCCAACTCGTTCTCGGTATCCTCCACCATCGGCGCCTTACCCTTAGAGCTCTGCGACGCAGCGACTTCCATCGCCCGTCGGCGTCGATCTGCGGCCGCCACCTCCAGCTCCACCTCATACTTCAGCCTCTCCACGGTATCGTCCAAGCCTCCCAAGTCTCTGAACACCGTCGATGCGGTATTGCTAAGGTCCATCAACGCCTCGAGTATGTGAACTGCCGCACTGACAAGATGTGTGTGCGACGGCTCCGTGTCTTTGAGCAGAGGCAACAGAGTGGGAATCAGCCCCGCGGCGTCGCGCAGCGACGAGCGACCCGAAGGCGTCGCCACCAATGCCGTAACCAAACACAGCAAAGCCTCGACGAACGCCCGGGACGACCTGGCATCCCCTCCGACGACGACCGGTGGTCCGCCCTCCTCCCTCGCCCTCTCTCCAAGCTGATCCCCGCGTGCAGCTGTGCCATTATTCAACGACCCCACAGCCTTCTGCATCAACCGCGCCAGTATTCCCCGATGCCCTCCGCCGCTGAGCACATTCAGCACCGTCGCCTGTTGCGTTCGATCCTGCAACAACCCCGCCAGCGCGTACACCGCGAGGGTTCGAATCTCCGGGACCACATCCTCGGCGCGCAGCACGCTCACCAGCTCGTTCGTAAACTCCGGCTCGTTCGTGAAAAACGCTGCCATGTCCTGCTGATGATGATGATCCCCGCGGCCCTGCTGCGACTGCAGCAGCACCGTAAACGCAAGAAGACGAATCTTAACGACCTGGCGACGGGATGGCAGAGAACCGAACGCCCTAGCGAATCTGAGACGAGTGAATAGAGCAAACCGAAGACTGGGCGGGACCTGATACTGACTGACGAGCTGCTTCAGTAGTTCCAGGTCATTCTGAGGAACCTGGCGCACATCGTCGACAGCAATGACACGCAGCCCGGGCGTGTCCTGATGTTGCGGGCCCTCGTTTACCCTAGAGCCAGTATCTGACTTGTCCATTAAGGATGAGGAAGACCCCCCCCCACCTGAAGCTTGCAATGATGGGAGGGTGTAGAACTCGAAATGCAAAGACGAACCCTGTCTCACGGGTTCCGCATCCAGCCCTCCCTCGACGGAGCACGAGAGCAATCCAAGACCTTCTTCCTTCCCGCCCCATCCCTGCGTTAACGAGAACAACCGAGCGTGCAGGTCGCCATCGCCGAATGGCACCCTGGGACCCCTCAACACGTGATGCGAGGGCTTCTTCCTCACGAGAGCGGCGAGCATTTGCAACGCCGCGATGACCACGTCCGCATCGACGGAGGCGAGAAGAAGAGTCACGTGCTCGTACGACAGAGAAACTTCCTTGAAGGAACAATTCTCAAGAATGATGGTAGTCACCCGCAGTATCTGTAGCACGGCCTCTTTGGGGAAAGGTTCCGACACTTCTTCGAGCGCGCCCTCGAGACGTAGGTCGGGCCTCGGTTTCACATGCCTCTCGAAGTAAGCGTCGAAGTGTGACAGCAGGTCTAACCAATGATTGATATCTCCTTTCTCGTAAGTCCACGTGAAGCCGGACAACGAGCCAGCTATGCTTTCCATCGGAGTGCTCAAAACCCTCTCCACAAATTCCCGGATGGCGGGAGGGGTCTCCGCAAACGCGGCCCCCCCCTTCTTCCTTGTCGTCTTCATCATGCTCCCCCCTTCCTCTTCCTCCCTGGTCCCCCCAGCCCTTCCCCTTCCCCCCCCCCCCTTCCTCCCCTTCTAGCTGGATCACCAACCGCAGCTCCGAAATCCTCGAGCCAACGGGTCGCTATGTACTAACCCTAAAGCTTCTCAACAGCATAATATGAGAAGTCCGAAATCCATTTGTTTGTTTCTTTACTGCCAAATCATGACCCTCCCTTCTTCCCTGCTCCAGCCCTAAACTCCTAGGTCTCCAGCCCGGCACTGCTCGCCTTCAAAACATCGGCGCGGCTTACACATACACATCCTCCCAACCGCAACTCTTCAAACGCTCCTGCGCTTCGCTATTCGCACGCCCTCCCTCCCTCCTAGGAAGGCAGCTCAGGTGTGTGCACCTAGAGAACAGAGTCCTACCATAGCCGTCCAGCAAGCTCGACGCCGCGCCACCAAGGCGCCACGTCGGCGGCTGCAGCGCAACTGCCGCGTCCAGTGGGGGGTTCAGAGGATATGACACCGTTGAATATCTGCGCTTGTTGTGAGGTGACCCGAGATGACCGCCCTGCAAGCGTATCGCCGTCCTCCCCTCCCCTGGCTTGCCTCGCCTCTGCCTGTGCCCTCTCCCGGCACACCGCCGTCCCCTCTCCTTCCCCGTTCGGTGGTAGTACCGTAACGTGCGAACCGGCCCGCTAACCAGCCAGCCTCCCTACTGTCTCCCCGTTCCCTCTACCTCCCTGCCGCCCTGGTAGGCACTGAGCTTTCCCCGCACTCTCCCCCCCACACACACTCGGACATTGTGTGCCTACTTCCCTCCCTACTCGCTTTCTTTCCGCTTCTCTCGTCCTGGACCTGGGCTCGCGCCGCGCGGCTCGGGCGGAGGCGCTCAAAATCGCTACAAAATCCGCCCGGCGCGCACCACACTGTTGCTCGCTCCGGCCCACGCCCACCCTTTTCTTCCCGACTTCTTCCTTCAATGCCCCTTCCCCGCTACTGCGTCGCGGTGGCTTCCCTATGCACGCAGGCAGACAGTTTCGACTCGACCACGGTACCCACACGGGCGTTCCGTGGGCCAACACAAGCCGTTTCCCTCTCAGGTGGGATAGTTCATTCTCCCACTCTGCACCAGAGCGCAGATGGGAGCGGGAAAGGATGAACGGGCGGGTGGGCGTGGGGCTCTCCCGTCGTGTCCGAGACTGGGACGGGTATGCTGTTCTTTTACCGACTACCAGGAGGTAGGCCCATAATAACTACCAGAAGGCGAACCTGAGGCCTCAAAAGAGGCAAGGACGAAGACTGTTAGGGGTATGCAGTTCTCGCAGTTCTCTTGGGTATGCAGTTCTCGTAGTTCTCTTACCGACTACCAGTAGCTAGGCCCACACAACCAGGGGGCGAACCTCAGCCCTGAAGAAAAGAGGGCTGGGGTGGCGAGGCATCACTGGGGGCACTGAGCCTCCGCTTCACTCCCCCAACACCCGCCGGTGGCCCGCTCCTCTGCATCATCTCAGGTCAACTGACCCCAAGCACAAGCCATGGGCTTGCAGAACCCAAAAGCACCTTTCAAAAGACCCAATTGGTCACAAACCTGGAACAAGAACCTAAGGTGACCTGTAGCAACCCAAGACCTCCGGTTCACACCTCCGCAGTTTTGCCCATGCCGAGCGCAGTGAGCCCTGTTATTGGAGGCGATATGCGGCTCCCCTAAGTGAGAGCCTCCGATTATGATGGCTTTGGTCTATTCGTTGAGAGCTGCACCTGCTGGAAACCAAGTCCAGCATCCCATCCTTCATGCAAGCCAGAACTAAGTAACATCTGACGTGCTGGAAACCAAGTCCAGCATCCCATCCTTCATGCAAGCCAGAACTAAGTAACATCTGACGTGGACAGCATCCATTGCCCTCATTAAATGACGGGATGGACTGCCATCCATACATTCGAAAAATTCCTCTCCCATGAAATGGAGGAAACAATATATAAATGAAAAGCACCTAGGGATGTCGAACTTAGCCTTGGGCAACTGTATGTCATGGGCACTCCCTCCAAGATTCTTGAAGACAGTCTAACTTGAGTTCAAATTCCTTTTTCACCACTCTTAGCCACGACAATGCCATAATCAGGCTTCCAAAGTGAACAAGGGAAGTGAGCAGTTTGTCTCCCCAATTATAGGGATGAAAAAAAAGGGGGGAGGGAGGAAATGGCACGGGAGGAGGAAGATTAAGTGGAGGATATTCAGTGGATAAGAGTAGCGAAGAGTTGGATATTCATTTAAAAAAAAAAAAAAAAAAGGTAACCACTCATTTCATGTATAATTTATCTCGTTTCCCACCAGTCAATGATTTATTTCACTCAAAACAAATTATTATTTACTATTATCAATGTTAAATATTTCAAATAGGAGTCAGTGAATGAAACTCCCTACAATCGATAAGGTCTCCCAACCAGTCAATGTTTTCTTTCACTCAAAACAAACTAATATTATTAACTATTATCAATGTTACATATTTTAAATACGTGTCAATGAATGAAACTTCTCACAATCGATGAGGGTTCAATTATATTTACAAACTTTGAGACCTAAGGCTTACCACATATAACAAATTTGTCAATAAGCAAGAAAAAAATAAATATGTAATATTTTTTTTACTTGAACCTTGTTTGTTTTGTAAGTCAAATTAGTATAATTTGTTGACTCACTTAGTTAGGTACTACGAGCCCTCTGTCCCATTCGACCTAAATGGTTCACCGGTTCCACCAAATGCTTTCATCCCGAAATGGGATTCCAATTGTCAGGTTGGACGATAACGAATATTGTGCTTTATTTTCTATAATTTCGACACAACCTTTAAATTAGACGAATACTGATAAAAAACAATGTAAAAGGGAACCGCATTAATGAGATCATGAACCAATGAAACAAAATAAATACTCCATATTAAAAGACATAAATATATTTAACAATTAGAAGATGAAAAAATATCCGATAAGATCAACAGTTGCCTTTCGTATGATTTTTTTTTTATAGTTAATAAATTTTTTGATGTAAATATACACTCAATCAAAAAATTATAATGACAAATTTCTTACACTTTTTTTTTTATATATGCTTTATTATGCAAGCTTAAAAAAGTGAAACCACAGTGGTATGATTTCCCCATGTGTCGATAATCATTCCTCTTTATAAGTTGAAACCTGCATAGTACGGCAAATGTGTTCACGCCCTTCCACGTTCGTGCAAACAACTCACAAAAGTGTTCGGACGAACATAATTTTTTTTGTAAAAAACTAAAATATATATATTTTTTCGTTTTTTATCGCGTTTGGCTAAGAATTTGAATATGACTCCAAGATAAATATTTCTTGTATTATTATTTTACATGACATATATTTTTTTCATATTTTTTTAGATTTTTTTTTTTCTTCGCGTTTGGAGGGTTTTTAACGGTAATTCTCGTTCGATCGAGCATGTCCGGGTTCGCCTCCGAACGCAAACACGATGCTACAGAGGTTGAAACTTCAATTTTCTAATATATTTTGATTTTTTTAAGTTAAAACTTTAATTTTTTATATATTTTTTTTCATATAACCAATTTGTAGTTAACCACCATTGTTTCAAAATTTATGTTCACGTCATTTGTCTAAAAGTATATTTTCAAACCTCCATTTTTTTTTTCTTCTTCTAATTACCATAATCTTTATTTTATTTGTAATTTTATTTGCTAATCAATAATCATATGCACAAGTTACTCATACAAAGTTTCGTTTAAATACCTTAATTATATTAAACATTTCCTATAACATAGTTCTACTTCATATTTCATTTACTTTTTATAATTCAATATTGTTTATGCTGTCATTTATATCATGAAAGCATCGTAAAAAATATATATATATTACGTTAGGAAAAATTATAGCCTCTTATATAATGATGGTAACAATAAAAAAATTATACGTAGTAAAATATCAAATATCACTTAAAATAAGATTGTTCTAAGTAATAAAAATTAAGAGGAAAAAAAAACTTTGCAATAAAACAAACAACAAAACATTTAAAAATAATAATCAGTTTAACAAATTATATTTGTAATTAAGCATAACAACCTTCTGAAAGTCTTTACTATCTTTCATTCGCACTTATATTTACATCATGCATCAATCACAATAACATGCATCCATTCATATTTGTCATCTCAACTACCCATCCTCTATAATCTTGAATATTTAGTTAAAAAACGACAACAAATAATTATTAAGTGTTAACTTTACAACTATTATACTTTTATTTTTATATTTTACTTCTTCATTATAAATACTATGTGAAAAGAAAAAAAAATTATTACCAAATTTATTGTTTCTCTTCGCATATTGAGATAAAATTTGACAGTAATACATTTTAATAAAACTCATATTGCTTACTATTTTCTTAATTAAGAAATAAAAAACATACAATAAGGATCAAAAGGCGAATAAGCAATGGGGAAAAAGTTATGAAAATGTACAATCAATAGTTTGTTATTCATCAATACATCCGTACATCCACAATTTCATATTTAGGTAATGGTTTTATGCGAAACTTAATAAATTTATTGGTTGGTTTAATCATTTTTATGCTAGGCTACCTGCCGGGTCGCCCGAATTTCTAGTGGGCAGCCGTGCAAGAACCAAGGAAGGTCCCTGCAAAAAAAAAATTAAAAAAAATAAAATTATTTGCTTATAGTTTTTATTCTTTCCCACAGTGGTAACCCACCTGAACATTTGAAGAGGGTTACCAGTAGCACAGTGGTGCGAACCCGAGGAGTGGAAACAATGAAAAATGTGTTAAATTGTCCTTGTGATTTATTTCGCAATTTATACGACTTTAATTATTATTTTTCTTAATTTTCATCGTCAGATTATGACTATATATATGGATCCTCAAATTTTTAAATTTTTTGACACATTCTTTTGATAGTGGAAAATCGTTGAAGTTGAGGTACTTTTTTAATTGGCTCACAAATAGTAGAGCCGCAAAAATAAAAAATGAAATAAATCAGCGAGTTGTTAATTTCATTGACTAAATTTTTTTTTTTCAAAATATTTTTTAAGGCAATGAAATCCACAAAAAACTATGATTTTCAAAGTTTCTATGTCATTTTTATCTGCATGCATACACATACACATACACACACACAAGCAAAAAAAAAAAAAAAAAACGTATCTGATTGTTTCTTTAGACTTTCGTCGATTCATCAACAACACTTACATTTTGTCGATGATACACGTTACTTATTATATGGACTCACTACATCACGTAAAACTTAGTAATACCCATAAAAGAAATGATCGACGTTACTTACATCAACACAATGATTTGTGTGCGTAATTTTTTTATATGAATAAAATCGTTTTTTTGTCAAGGTATCACTAACTCATCGTGATATGCTGCATCCTTATCTATCAGTTACGTATATCGTGGGCAAACTGTCGAGGTTCAGCCTTATGATGAGTTGGTGAAAGTACGACGAAACAATCACACATTCATTATGTTATTTTTAGTGAGTTATGAATAGTAAATATGGTTAAAAAATTACTTACTCATATTCACTCACAATTCACTCACACACACACACACACACACACATATACATGGCGCACATACACACACGTATACACATGCCAAGCACGTGTGCAGTATATATATGCACACGTACACACATATGCATGCACCCACTCTCCATAATATTTTTGTTTTATATTTTTTTACAAATTAATTGATTATTTGAACAGGGGTACGAAATGCGGTTCTGGTTATCGTTTTTCCTGGATTAGTTGGATAGGGTGAAACATGGAGACCTGGTTCGTTTTTTTTCGTTTTTGGGTTCGTTTTTGTTTTTGTTTTCGGGCTTTGGGGTGTGCTTTTGTTTCGATCGAAGCCTATCTTTGGCTCTAGGTTTGGGACGTTCGTCCCCTTTAAGCACACGGACTAGCCCCGGTCTAGCTCCGTCATGGGTTAAGGCCCTCACGTCGTGTGCCTTTGGTACAACTAGATTTAGTGAGCCCGGGTGCTGCTGGGGTCCAGTTGAGACTTATGCACCCTGGGACATTTGGTCTTTTAGGACGCCTGTAGGAATTTTGGCATTTTGCATTTTGTCTTTCGCCCTTCACGGCGTTGATTGTTTGCTTCTGTTTCATGTGTTTTCGCTGTGTGGTTTTGTTAGTGCTAGGACCGTGTTGGTTTGTTAGTGATAGGACCTTCCCATAAGTCTAATGATTGCGCCGATGTAGCTCTTTTTGGGTCCGACGCGGTCGGATGCGCTACCACTCCGAAGATGGTGGTGTGATCCGAGAACGGAGGTGGGAACAATGGTTTGTTGACTTTTGTGACGGGACAACGTGGTGGTATTCCCCCTGCGGAGGCCGTGTGGCGACGACCGAAACCGGTCGGGGTGCCTACCCACCGGCGATTTGCAATCAACTTTTACTTTGTACCTTGGTGTACCGGTGACGTGCTTTGCTTTGACTCTGTCTTCTTGACTTTGTCTTCGCTAAGTCTCACTCTCTTTGTCAACTACAGAAGGCGTATGTGAACCAGCTTGGACAAGGCCGCCGAGCAAGTGTGAGCATACTTAGTTTGCTGTTACTTTCTGTTTGTGGTTACTATTGCGAGTCTCGAGTTTCTTCTTCGACAACCGTTACTAGTGTCTGTTAAGGCTGCTGCTCTACGGGCGCTGACTATCTGCTTCGATGTTTTTCTTGCTGCTAATACAACCGTTATGGTTGGACGGGACACTCGGGGCGCCGGTGTGAAGTGTTGTCTGGAGCATTTGGGTTAAGCGTCAACGTTTTATGCAGAGCCTTGGCTGCAAAGCAACCTAAGCTGACCTAACACACAGTGATTCCAGACGGTCCACCGTTAGTATTTTCGGTGGTCCTTTGGCACGGGGGGTACAGCGACTATGACGAATGGAGGCTACCGTGGATTTGGTCGCGATCATGATCGTGATCGGTACCCGGATAATTGTCGTGACTTTGGGCGTGATGACCACCGTGAGCATAGCCGTTATGTGCGAGGCGACCGTGCGAGGGAGTACGAACGGGGTCCGACATACGAGAGAAGCCAAGACTATCGGGAGCAACCTAGGAGGGCAGCTCCTGTTTGCTTTGGGTGCGAAAAACCTGAACATTATCGTAATCAATGTCCCAGGTTGACGGGGGAAGGTAGCTCGAGGGCATGCATGACACGCGGCCGCTCGCTGTCTCCAAATAGACAACGTTCGGCGCATGGGAGACGCTCTACGTCGGAGGATACATCCGTTAAACAACAGTTGGAAGAGCTCGCTGATTCACTGGCGAGTATGAAAAAGCACTTCGATCGAGAACAAGCGAAGAATGACAAAAAGGCGAAGCGGAAGCAGGAGAAGGAGGAACGTGAGAAGGAGGAGCGCTTTGCTGCGAAGCGCCGTGAAGACCGAAAGGAGGAAAAGCTACGTCGAGATGAGATGGAACGGGAGAGGTTCCGTAAGGAGTTGCGAATGCAGATCTCCAAGGATGTTGGAGGTCTCGGTGAGCACCTCGAGCGCAGGATTAATCGTGTTATCGCTCTCGCTAAAGGGAAAGGCAAGGCTGAGGAGGTACCCTCCGAGGCGGAATCTTACGAGTCTGAGAGCAGTGACGTCGAAACTTTGAGCGACTTGGCGGAAAAACTGACGATCAATAAGAAGCGCAAACGCGCCCCCGAAGAAGTGGAGGGCGATAGCCCTCCCATGGAGACACCGGTGAAGCGCTCCGCCAAACGTGGGGAACTGGATCCCCTACGGCTTACCAAGCGGCTACAGCTGAGCTGCCGCCGACCACCTCTCAAGAAGACGCCTACGTGGAAGACTCCGAGGAAGACGCCGCGACGTATCGTGTGGAAGAACAAGATCCCAGCAGCAGGTGGACCGATGGGGAAGCTGAGGTTCGTTACGGAGAACCTGAAGACACTCGACAATATGACAATGGACCAACTAAAGGAGATTTGCCGTTTGCAAGACGTTCAGTATGAGTCTAAGAAGATGGAAACAATTCTTGCTATTGCCGATAAGCGGACACACATCGCTTCTGGATCTGATCATGATGCTGTCGAGGAAGAGGCCGCGGAGCATGAGGATCCGGCGGGTGTCGCCGCTGATGATACCAAGTCAGGCACAGAGGAGGACACAGAGTCTTGAAGCGTTGGGCAACTATGGTGTCTTTGACGTGCTGTGATACAGGTCCAAAGGGAATCCCCCTTCGACCCCACCTTGGAGCGATTATATCGGATGATTGTCATGTTGCTTTCTCTTTATGGTCAGATACGGTGGCTACGTAAGTGTGCGGTGTCCTGGATTAGCTTGTTTGTACGCTATGGCTTGGTTATCTTCCTTGGCGAGGGTACTGGTGTTTACCTGATCTCTTCTCCGCTATGTAAGGCAACCTATATAGGTCAGACGGGCCGTTCCTTCAACGTTCGTTGGAAGGAACACTTTTATGTCTCAGGCCGTGGTTTTAAGAAAAACCACCTGTATCGTTCGTGGAGAGTTTTCGGAGAGGAATCTTATGTCGTGTTTTTTCTGGACACGTGTACGACAGACGATTTACCAACACTTGAACAACTCAACATTCGTAGGTGGAGCCCGGTGTTGAATACAACCGGAAAGGCTAAGAAACGTCAGCATCGGAGTTGCCGTGTCCGGAAGGGTAAGAGGAAGCGACACAAGGTAAGCCTTAGGGATGAACGACACAAGGCAGACCAGGGATTGGACACCAGAGGTTCTAGTACAGTAACGGCTGTCTGCGCGAAGTTGGATGATTGCGAAGACTGGAGGGTGAATATTTTTAGACTCCTGCAGCAACAAGAGGATAGAGGGCGCCGGTCGTTTAGGCTGACGATAAGAGGAGGAAACAATTGGTGTGGTGGTTCGTCAAGTCAGCATTCGGTTGCTCTATTGTGAGGGCGAAGGGACAGAAAAAACGACTACACGAATGCAAGCACCCGCTTGAGCAAGGGACCGAGTTGGAGTTCTGCCAACTTAGAAGATGGAAATCGAAGGTTGGACCAGATAAGAAATTTTTGGTCTCCATGTTGCGGAATCCTGGTTTACTCGCAAAATTGCCCAACTATAATCTTGAAGCGCTGGTTCGTCTGATGGATACTGGTAAAGATTTTCAGCGATCGTCGACTACCGCTTACCTACGTAGACATATAACGCACGCCATCAAGAGGTCGTTTGGTTGGTGTATTAATTCTAAGATAGTTGTTCGACTGAAGTACGACGATCGGATCAAGTTGGTTGCGGTTAGGAAGGTGTTAAACGATAAGATTGAGTGTCTGGATATCCCTGCTTGCATCAAGTTTGCAGCACGTTGCGCGGTTCGGATTGTCTGGGTTAAGAACCCCTCGGTCGCGGACCTACTACATAATCACCGCACGTTTGCGCGCGCTGATGTGTCAACCTGTTCTTGTGCAGGTTTCCCCTACCCCAGGGTAGGTGCCCACGTGCAGGCTCGTTTGCAGGATATCGAGGGCGTCCATGCGCTCATTCTAAACGCGAATAACATCCCTAAGCAGTCGCACCCCAACCATTGCGTGCTGTTGATTCAGGAGATTGAATTGGGCTTACAATCCTGGGCTAATCGCAGAGGGGAGACGCCATTTGTCCTACCGTCCGAAGTTCAGAGATGTATGGTCGCGCCATCGGGGGAAGTAGCTGAATACCTTGATCTGCGCCGCGTTAGGAATCTTGGTAGGGATCTTTCGGGTCGGGTACTGACGCCATTGGATCGGAATCTTGGCGAGACTTTGGTACTATGCCCGAAGCTGTACGATGAAGCCTTGATGGATTTGTTCGTATGCTCTTCGGGGTACGTTGTTGTGGAGCAGGATGAGGCTGATTTACATACCAGGATGGTGGAGGACTTGCGGAAGCATGATCTGCTACGGTTTGCGATGTGGGATAAGAAGGGTAAGTTAGGTGAGGCTTACGTCCTACCTAAGCACAAGGACCTCTCCCGCTACCGACCTATCTGCCCCACTTTTTCGGAACCCACCAACAAGACATGTAAAAGTGTGGCGAAAGTGTTAAACCACCTGCTACTCGCCCTGCCGAAGAACTGGCATTTTAACCTGAAGTCGGTATCGTCTATGGTTCCAGTTTTGGAACATGTCAACCGTACTGTCGGTCGGCAGTCCTCTGGCGACCCGGAACTTGCTGGCATGTCTTATGATATTAAAGACATGTTCAGCAAGCTCCCCCATGATGAGATCATGACAGCAGTCGACTGGATTATCGATTACCATCAGGGTAAGGGTCGTACCTCGGTTCACATTAACACTCGAGGAAAGGGTAGCACCTTTGGTAGAACTACGGGCGATGACCATTGGAGGGAAGTTGATTGGATGTTCTCCGCGGCTTCGTGTCGCTAGACCTTAGGAACACTTTTACGCGTGCTACTGCTGTGGTGTTGAAGCAGGTGGTCGGGATCCCGATGGGGAAAAGCACCAGCTCTCCCCTAGCGTGTATTCTGTGTGCCTTCGCTGAGTTTCACTTCTTGAACTCCATTGGGAAGCTTCGACGTTATATGTTCGGCATCCGACTTATGAATGATGTTAGTCTTCTTATCAGTAAACCGAAAGGGGGTCGGAAAGTGGTGGACCGCATCCGGATTTGCTTTGAGCAATGTTATCCGGATAATCTAACACTGGTACGAACTGACGACGAAACTGGGTCTTGGGATTTCCTGGGAACAAAAATGAAGGTTGATCGTATGCAGCCTTTTGTCAGCTGCTACCAGATGCTGAAGAACGAGCATATATCTGGGAACATGAGTGCCTCGAATTCAAGAATGGGCAAACTTACCAATCCTGGGGTAGTAAGGATCAGAAAAGCGCTGCTGTTTGCAGTTATCTACATCGTATTGAACGAAATACGAATGCAGTTGCTGAAATTCCCATGCGTGTGTTGAACCTGAAACGTAGATTCGCTTGAAGGATTTTTCGAAGCAGTTCTTGCAACGGATACTGCGTAGTTTCGCAGTTGGTCGTCACCCTTTCTGGGCAACCACATATCGTTGGCTGTACCTGTAAGCCGACACTTTCCTCATGGCTGCGTGTTGGGTTTTCTCGGTGCTTGTTATCTTTCTGGGTTTTTTGGTATTTGCTTTTTTCTTACTTGTAGCCATTTCCGTGCTTCAGTGTTTTCGTGTTATAGAGAAGATGCTTTGGATATGCATTGCTTTTTGTAGGATTTTAACTTTATCCTTTGTGTATGTTGTACGTGATTCAGTTTTGTCGTATTCCTAGATTAGTTGGACAGGGGTACGAAATGCGGTCCCGGTTATCGTTTTTCCTGGATTAGTTGGATAGGGTGGAACATGGAGACCTGGTTCGTTCTTTTTTCGTTTTTGTTTTTGTTTTCGGGCTTTGGGGTGTGTTTTTGTTTCGATCGAAGCCTATCTTTGGCTCTAGGTTTGGGACGTTCGTCCCCTTTAAGCTCACGGACTAGCCCAGGTTTAGCTCCGTCATGGGTTAAGGCCCGCACGTCATGTGCCTTTGCTACAACTGGATTTAGTGAGCCCGGGTGCTGTTGGGGTCCAGTTGAGACTTATGCACCCTGGGACATTTGGTCTTTTAGGACGCCTGTAGGAATTTTGGCATTTTGCATTTTGACTTTTGCCCTTCACGGCGTTGATTGTTTGCTTCTGTTTCAGGTGTTTTCGCTGTGTGGTTTTGTTAGTGCTAGGACCGTGTTGGTTTGTTAGTGATAGGACCTTCCTATAAGTGTAATAATTACGCCGATGTAGCTCTCTTTTTGGGTCTGATGCGGTCGGATGCGCTACCATTCCGGAGATGGTGGTGTGATCTGATAACGGAGGTGGGAACGATGGTTTGTTGGCTTTTGTGACGGGACGAAGTGGTGGTATTCCCCCTGAGGAGGCCGTGTGGCGACGACCGAAACCGATCGGGGTGCCTACCCACCGGCTATTTGCAATCAATTTTTACTTTGTACCTTGGTGTATCGGTAACGTGCTTTGCTTCGACTCTGTCTTCTTGACTTTGTCTTCGCTCAGTCTCACTCTCTTTGTCAACTAAGATATTATTCATTTCACCAATCAATCAATCAATCAATTGGATAAGTTAATTCATCAGTCAATCAATTTACCAATTCACGCACACACACACACACACATACACACACATACACACGTTAATGGCGCACATACACACAAGGATACACATACCAAGCGCATGCGTATTACATATACGCACACGCACACACATATGCATGCATCCACTCTGCACAATTTTTTTTTTTTTTTTTTTTTTTACAAATTGATTGATTAAGCGATCATTTAGTTGACCAATCAATCAATAAGTCAATTGGATGAGTTAATTCATCATTCAATCAATTGACCAATGAATTAATTTATGATCAATCTATGGATTAATTAATGGACTAATAAATAGATTAATTAATAAAATAATCAATCGATTAATCAGTACATCAATAAATTAATCACACATACACACATACAAATACAAACACATACAACCATATATGATAGGTACAAGAGGAGGTTGTGAGGAAAATGAGGAACGACTAACATACCACTGATAATACCTTTCACTCCCCTAACAATATTTGTTATTATTTAAACACAAAATACATAAATATTTCATAAAATATATTAATATATATATATATAAATTTATCCTGAATTGGGTTGCCCAGTAAACCGTAGGCACAGAGAGAGAAGAGGACAACAAATGAGGGGCTGTGACAAACTGTTTCGTCAGTGTTTCCCTGACTCGCCAGGAGGCTGAACCCTCATCAGTCTGCAGAATCCCCTAACTTATTACATTGTAAGTGATAATCCACCTTAACCCCGACTATGATTAAGCATCAACGACTATTCGACAACTGATACCCTGAGGTGGGCACCAACCACTGCTCTCAAGGCACTTGTGACGAGTATATGCCTCTCGTTTATTATCCTTTTCTTTCTCTCTGTCTACTGTTTACCGGACAACTTTGTGATAATATATATATATATATCAGTGAGGGGATTCTGCAGACTGTTGAGGGTTCAGCCTCCTGACGAGTCGGTGAAACTCCGACGAAACAGTTTGTCACAGCCCCTCGTTTGTTGTCCTCTTCTCTCTCTCTGCCTACGGTTTACCGGGCAGTTCTGTTTGTGACGATATATATATATATAAACGACGTTTAGCGTTCCATCGAATGATTTGTCAGTGGTCGAATATTTAGACCTCCGACAAGTTTCACCAAAGTCATACATTCGTTAACCCTAAACTCATATACTTTTAATCTACATTGCGACTTATACTCACCCCGTACGAGTAAGAGTTGTACTCATTTCTTGTACTCTACTCGTACCCATTACGACTTAAAAAAAAAATAAAACTACTATTTTTTTTTTTTTTCTCCATTCTAATAAGAATCTGCAGATGGTGTTTGGGCAAATATTGCTTGTTTTGGGATGTTACATAATATGTTTTTATTTCAAAATTTTTGAATGACTTTTTTTTTTTTTTCCGTACGGGTCGTACAGGTTCCTGTACAAATATTATCTGTACGTTTCGTACGTAATGGCCCCGTACGTGTACCTTCGGTAACATAGCTTTTATTATTTTCGTTAACTTTATAATTTTTTATCATAATAAATCAATTTACAAATAAAATGATTAATTACAATGACAACAAACTGCATGGGTGTTTATGATTATACATTAACGCTTTATCGATCCATGGATCGTTAGTTTTAACATGTGTAGCACACCGAACATGTTCGGCAGCCTACCAAGCATCCGAACATGTTCGGACGCTCAGCCGAGCGAAAACCGAACGTGTTTGGCTGAGCGCAAATTAGGGGGTTGCCGAACGAGTCCTCGTGTGCGTGTGGTGTGTGGGGTGTGTCTGCAGTGTGTGTGGGGGGGGTGTATGTGGTGTGCTGTGGGGGGGGGTATATGTGTATGTATATTTTCAAGAGTGATGGGCAATGCCTCCAGGGCCCCCCCAACCCCTATATATATTAAAAATAAATAAATAAATAAATAAAAATATTTCGGCTCGATTGATTTTGGGCCACGTTCGGGCTCGTTACCGCGCGTTCGGGTTCGGTTACTGAGCCCAAACACGATGCTACGCACGTTTTGACAAATAATGTAATCTACGAACCTTTTTAATAATCCTCACTCCATACTATGAATAACCACATTCTGAATTTCTTACTACTTCCGAACCAATTATCTTAAAGTATTTAGTAATGTTATTCATAATGTCAAAACCAACTTTTAATTAAGATATTCCTTATTATGCATAACCTCAACTCGAAAAGATGACGGTGCAATACAACTATGAATGTTCTTGCTATAGGCGGAATGTTATTTCAATTTACAATTCAACCCCAACATATGTATCTAACATACATTCTAACTATTTTTCATAACTTTTTTATTATTGCTACTAGACCTCTACTAGACCTACCAAAATGCAGGGGTTACTTAGGTTACCTCAAAAATCCCACAAGTTCCGAAAGAATTTTTTTTAACAACTTTCAGTCATGCCCCTAACTTTTATTTCACGTTTACCTGATCATGTTTGACATACAACCACATGCATTTAACAAATACGGTTAACACACAAACCCGAAGTTAAACTCATGAAGAATATAACACATGCATGTCAGTGGTAGGTTAGTCACACACTTAGAAAATATAACAAATCGCAGTTAAAAAGATTTAAAATTCAAAATCCTTACTTAATATATATATATATATATATATATATATATATATATATATATATATACAGGGTCATCAGCCGGTACGTACGGTGGTCCCCGGGCAGACCTTCATACGTACGGGCGTTCGGCCCCCGCCAAAAAATATTTCGGGGCCTAAAAATAATTATTGTTTTCTGAATTGTTTTTTTGTGAGCTCTCTATTACGTGATGTACATGTGTGTAAATTTTCAAGTCATTTGGCTAAGCCAAATAAGAATTAAAAATCTCCAAAGATTGCGGTGTCAAAACGTGCTCGCCCACGTATTTTTTCACTTTTTACTTTTTGTTTTCACTTTAGTTCGGGGTCTAAACAATTTTATTATTTTTTGAAACTTTTTTAGTGGGTTTTGTATCATGTGAAGTACACATCTGTAAATTTTCAGGGCATTTAGCCATGCCAAAAAAAAAAAAAAAAATCGCCAAAGATGGCGGTGTCGAAAACATGCTCGCGCATTCACTAAATTTAATTCTCTTTTTATTTTTATTTATTTTTATTATTAATATTTATTTTTTGTATTTTATTTGTATTTAAAATTTGGTAAGGAATTCGGATGTAATGCTCAGGCAAATCTTGTTTAATTTATTTTTTTCCATAACATATATTTTTTTCTGAT